ATATCTTCTTGTGATCATCAGCATATTCCGTGATCTCAGAGATATGAAGGTGTTCAGGATGTTGGAAACGATGGTTTTCCCTCGTTGCTCCTTGCCACAACTGTCCCCAAACTTACACCTGTAGGTATTGACATGAATTCGTTGAATCAGACGCAACAAAATTACTTTCATGTCAACCTATTTAACTATTAAAGGCTTCTCTCATGATGAACTCAAAGATACTGCTAAAACGCATCGTAGTGGTTCTTTCACGAATCAAACCAAGCGGAAGTTAGAAAGTCCAAAATGCCAACTCCGTGGTGAGGTTTGGAGGCATTTATTAGGACGAAATTTGAAACAGGAAGTTAGATAGAAAGGCCAACTAGTGGTTGGCAGGAGGCCAAAAACCACCCACACGCCTTGTCGAGACGCGACTGGCGGCTGCTTTCGCTCCCCCAGCACCTGTTTACAAGAGAGGCAGACGGTGTGGGACAACACCAACACACACGCCACGAGCCTCGGAGACACACAAGGGAGTGAGAATGTAATGGTTTGAGTCTCGCGCCCACGCACCCTCCAAGTTGACCAATCACAGCGCGAATCGGCGGTGTGTGTGCATAGACACGCGCGCAGGTGGTGGATTTTGGCAGCCGGCCAAAAACGACACACACACACGCATATGGCTGGGTTAATCCCCCTGGGCGGTGTCTTTGTGTGTGTTTCCTTCTTGGGCAAGTTGCGGAAGAGGGTGGAGATGTTGGCGGGTGGACGGCGCATGCTTTAAGTCTAATGTAATCGCAGTCTGGAAATTATGCTTACGAATACAAGTCGGGGAACGCAGTTCGTGAGTGATTGGCTAATCGGCACGGTGTAGGAAAGTATGGACACTGAAGCCACAACGGAGTACGTGGACACCCTTCCAGAGCACACCGTCTTCTCGACAAACCGGCGTCCATGTGGAATTCGTGATTGGCCGGCTGGGTTTTTTTATCAGTCGAGCAGTGATGCACTTTCTGAAGCCGCCGCCGCCGCCGCCGACGACGACGACGACGACGCAATTGGGCGAAAAATCAACCTCCGCTGGGTTGAAAGAATGTCGCGTGAGGAGCGGTTGTTTAGGTAGAAAAAAGTCGAGTTTTGGTGTGGTGTCAAAACTCGCAGCAAGGATAAAGACAAACCAAATTGCCGCGCAGGTTATTGGTTAACCCGCCCACGATCACCAATGCACGTTTCCTTCAAACTGCCACAGCGCACGCCTTCTTGGGCGATTGAAATGGACGGCACATTCAGGGGAAGACTGTCTACTAGTGCGGCTGGAAATTCCTAGCACCACGAACTGAGCAACAACGGGGCACTAACCACGAGTTGTGTTTTTTTTCGAAGACAGACAACCAACTTCAAGTCGCCCACACTGCCACAATCAGAATGGGACCCAAAAACACTCGATTTTTGGAACTTTCCAGGGCAAATTTTGCACCCCTTCGTTTACTTTTTGCCGGGACGATGTAGGTTCCACCGTTTGTGCTACCAGCTGCTGAAAAAGTGGCAGGTTAAGTTCATGCAGCCGTTTGTCATCATAAAAATGTGTAGCTTGAAGACTGTCAGACACGCAGATAGCTCCTTCCCCCACTCCCTCCACCCTACCCGGCTGCCTTCGGCCGGTTGCATCAACGAGGCACGACCGGGGCTGTGACGCAGGTACGCGACTTACCTCAGCCAATGAGAAAGCGGCTATTACTCCTGACTCACCTCACACACACACACGGGCGCAAAAACAATATCAACAAACGCGAGAGGGCTAGGTTACTAAAAATATGCAAGTGTTTTAGTAGGCAGGGGGGACGTGGTGGAGGCGAGGGGGGGTGGGGGGAGGAAGGGCAACGACCAGTGCCTCGCGCAGGGAGAGGAGGCTCGACGATATCTCTACAGGCCACCGTCCCCCAAGCAATTACCGTGCCCAAAGCCAGAAAATAGGGCCTGAGGTGTGGCAAATTTACTCAAATAAGTGTGATGACGCTAGCTGCTGAAGGCGAAAATGCCAGGGAGGAATGGCGTTGACGTGTTTGCCGTACTCGGCGGCGGTTCGATTTGTAATTTGTGCGATAATTGATTAAAAGAAAAAAGCATGGAATGATGGGTACTTACCATGCGCAGTCTCGCTATCACGAATTATGAAAGTTCCGGGTGTATTGCTGTTCAACAGGAGGAGGCGCTCTGAGTCCTTCCGAGAGATCCGTGGAATGTACCACCTGGTTTTAGAAGTAAAACGGTATTAAATAAGACGCAAAATCGCGCGTAATTGTGTGGATGCGTTCAACAATCCTTAATTGGTCAATTCTCGACACAAAAACTCTAGCCTTGCCTCCCGGTTTGACTGAAACTAGGCTTTAAAACACCAAGGTCAATAGGGGACGGATAGATTTACACGCTAAATTCTGTGGGGGTTTTATTTTGTGAACTGGCGGTTAGCAGCCGCCCCACCTTGCGTATCTCCAGACGCATTAAATCACTAGCTTAGACGTGGAAGAGGTTGGGGCAGCGGTGGGGGGGGGGGGG